ATTTTGCTAAAGAGCTGAGATTCAGGATTTTTCTCTTGTAGCTGATATCTAATTACAGCCGGGTTCTGCAGGGTTCCTAGGCCCTCAATGGATGCCAGAAGTCATGGATAGGACCAACCCCTACATATGTTATGTTTTTTCTCCTATACACATACACAACTACGAAAAATACATAAATTTTAATTTATAAATTAGGCACAGTAAGAGATTAACAAGAATAGCTAAGTGGGGTGCTGTGGTATACACCTGTAATCCCAGTGGTTTAGGAGACCAAGGCAGGAGGATCTTGAATTGAAAGCCAGCCTCAGAAAAAGCGAGGCACTGAACAACTCAGTGAGACCCTGTCTCTAAATAAAATACAAAATAGGGGCTGGGGATGTGGCTCAGTGGTTGAGTACCCTGAGTTCAATCCCTGGCTCCTCACAAAAAGAACCCCAAAACAATAGCTAATAATAAAATAGAATGATATGTAATGAAGTTATATGAATATGGACTCCATCTCTTCAAAGAGTCAAGATAAATATTAATATTTTCTCACTATCATTGTCTGGAGGTAACTGAAGCTACAGAAAATTAACTTCCACTAAGTGGGGCAGGGACACTGTAACGCAGCCTCCTGCAGGACAGACTTACGCTTGCTTCATCCTGGACATTGTGCTAAGAGCCTCATAGTATAACATTAGGTCTCACAATATCTTGGGGTAGATGTCTGTATTTTTATCTTCATTTTATAGGTTAGGAAACCAATGTGCAATTGACCAAGGTCACACAGTTAGTGTAGTGGATTAAACAGTTGTCCCCAGTTGTTCACTTTCTGCTCTGTAAGAGGAGGGTCGGACTCCACCTGTTCCTGCATGACCTGCAGTGCCTCACTGTGGATAAAACACCCACCTCCATCCCACTGAGCATCACCAGAGGTGTCACATGTCGCTTGTTTTGGTCAAGGGAATGGATCACTTGTGCTATAGCTGGGTAGGAATTTTAAAGGTCATTACTTAATTTGACATTCTGCTCTCTGACACTGCAATGGAATGTTCCAGATTTGAGTGGCCCTTCCACTTGGATCCTTGAATGGAGAAAACACAGGGGGAAGAGTCTCAACTGACTAGCAAAGGCAGGTAGCTCTGGGGAGTAATGAACCTTATCTCATAAGCCATTGAGATGCTGGATTTGCTGTCAGTCACTGAGTCTATATCTCCCCCCCCCCAAAAAAAGGTATACATTTAGATCTCAGTGCAAATGCAGTCAGCGAAACCCCGATCATGATCATGGAGCAGCACCACACAATTGACACACAAATTCCTGCTAGATGACATGAAGGAAATTTAAAGCACCACTAAAAAAATAATTTCTCATCTGGACAGGAAAAAAAGTGCATCCTGGCAATTTTGAAGAGGAAACTCCCCTAGCACCAGGATTAAATCTGATGTATAAATGTCTCTCAGGTTGCACACGAGATGATCCGATCACCCCACAGGACAGCTGCTGGTGAGGATGTGGCTCCTTTTACCCACAGATGTCCTTGCTGTTTCCTCTGGTGGAGGACTCATACCAGAAGCCACATTCTGCCTAGACAGGAGACTGGTGAGTGTTAGCCAAGGCTCTCCACCAAAGAAAACACCAGGGCTTTTGTGACCTTGCTTCTAAGCACAGGCGCAGGGAGGAAATGCGAAGTGTGGAGTGGGGATGTTCATGGGCATAAACTGGCTTGGCACACGGCATGGAGGTGAACGAAATCACTATGGGTTAAATTCAGGGTTAACGTCACATCTTGCAATTGAGAGAGGTGATTGGTGGACTTATTTCACTCTGGACAAGAAAGAGATTTGAATGGCTATCTTAATATTTTGTACTGGGCACAAACATTCTTTGAGTTTTGGTTTAAGTAATTATTCAAATAAAAAGTAAGTGAATAAATACATCTACCACTTATTAGAGGTGTGATATGCCTAAGGAAAGACAGTCATTTCTTTTTTAAAGATGTTACTGTCCTTTATTTGAGGCAACTAATTTTGCTATTAATTAATGCTTTTAAATGATACAAAGTATATGTCTATCCTTGCACATTGTCAGAGGAAATTTAGAATTCCATTAGAGTAGTAATGACAATTAAGATCATCTCTTCTTTGTATCACGTCTTAATTATTTCCAGAGATAATTATTTGTAATTATTTAAAATACATTTAAAGATGTATTTTAACTTAAATGAGTATGTGTTATTTTTCTCTATCCCCAAACACTTTAACTACAACTCAAAAAGGGGACCCGATATAACAATAGTGTTTCAATAAAAATTCAATAATTTTCTAAAACTCTGGAGTGAATCAATTCTTTTTTGGCACTCATGTGACAGTTACTATGAAGAAACAACAGATGTCATCTCAATAAGCTATAAGTCTAAATTCATTAAATTTCAACATCCCAATTTCATCAAGCTTCAAGTTCTAATACAATGAATTTTTTTGAAAGTTATCATCACTTTCAAGCTGATGAAAACAAATGCTTGTCTTTTCCTGGGCTTGCTTCCTGTCTCTCCTCTGCCTCTCTGTGCATGTTCCTCACTAATCACATGTCACTTATGTATCACTTGATTAAGGCAGAGTTGGGGAGAAAGGGGGAGCTTTGGCTTGCTGACTGCCTTTCAGTGGGGTTTGTTTCTTCGACTCTTGATGGCAGCACCCTCTTCTGCCTGTGAAAACCAGTGGATGGGGTGAGGATTCCATAAGGGGACATTCGCTTATTTTAATCTCCAGTGGATTTTTCTATTGCATAGAAATTTTCATATATTTCAATCCTATAGAGTAGAGATAGTTTGTGAGAAGACAGGAAAGAAGGATGGTGAATTAAAGCATTTTCATATCTTAAAGGAAGTGGTGCACCTAAGTTAAATCATGACTTGGGTCATCAAAATGAAAATACAATTTACTGATGGTTCAGAAATACCAGGGTGAGGTTTCAAATATTTTTTTTTATTTGCAAAATGGATCCAAACACACAGCGGTGAATTTTACTAAGTTGCCCTTCTTGAAGCAAGTTTTGCCTGGAATGGGTGAATCAATTATTTTGGAGTATTCTACTGACTACATAATGACATAATGACCCTTTGTTCAGCAAATAACCACCTAGGGAGAAAGCAACTCAGAGTTTGGTAAATTAGTGCTAAATCCATGAGCATGGGATCCACAGGAACTGAAGATTATTGATTGAGCAATTTCCATTCTTAGTTTAGTTACATGAATATGGAGCTTACCAGAACTAAAGCTTGATTGAGAATTTTTTTTTACTCAAGTTACTTACATGCCTTTCCTTTATAAAAATTCACTAGAGAAATTGAATATTAGAATGTCTAACAACTTACACTCTTATGTAGCTTGTTCATAACTAATCTCTTCTTCCCTTCTGCTGGTCATATCAGGTGGAACAAGGCCAACATGTAGCCACTTGGTTCAATCCTAACAATACTCTGTGTATCACTTCCTCTATTTTAGATAACAACGCTTTTGTAAATTAAATAATGGATAAACTTCTCAACACTCACCAGGTACTTAAATTCAAGAAATATTATGCTTTCATACTTTTGCCCAGGATTGGAACAAATTTCTGTGCCCTTATTAGCTAGCAATCATTAAAACAGGACTGAAAGGTATAAACATATTGCTTTAACAGCACCCGAGCATTCTGCATGCATTATCTTTGGAAAACAACAACACGCCCACAGTTGGAAAGCCCAGCAAGGAAAACCAGGATATGTCTTGTTTACCTTTATGAACAACAAGCCAAAACCAACTTAAGAGCCCATGCACAAGAGCACCGTCAAAAGAGAAAAGCAGACAAAGGTAGTTTAGAAACCTTATCAACATGTCCTACAGTTGCCAAACCTTGACAGTGTTCTACCATTCAAACTGCACCTTGTAACACCTACAGGCCACCCTTACAGGCTTTCTATTTAAACTATGACCACCACCTTCCTATACTATTGTTCCTCATAGGATCTGTGTCCCCACAGATCTACTACCAAAGACAAGCAGGCAAGACCAGCTTCTGATGAGGTGAGGGCAGAATGGCTCCACGGACTTACCTGTTTTTCCCTGAATGAATATCCAAACGAAGTTGAATGATAATGAATCCTGCCCTTCTGCACAGTTTCTTCCTTGTTTTACTAAGAGAAACAACTCCTCTGGGTTTTCTATGCCTGCAACCTTGGATGTGTAGCCAGCTTGCTCACACGCTGGTTTGAGGACCTGCTCACTGGCTCTCACCCCACCCTCTCCTCCTTTTCCAGGAGTTCACCTGGCTCTGCTTAGAGTCCCGTCGAGTCAACAGTCTCTCTGCCCTCTTGGGTCTTAGGACCCTACAACAGGATTGGTTGGCTGGTCTCTCACTAACCACAGTGCTGCCACACACCTTTCTGCTTTCTGCCATCTATGCCTAGCAAAAAGTTAGAGAGGGGAGTGGGAGAGGGCGGGGAATCAAAGGATGCTTTTGTAAGCTAAAAAGACTTGGCTGAAGTTAGACAGCTCTCATCAGGGGCTGAGCCTGTGTGTGTGTGAGTGTGTGTGTGTGTGTGTGTGTGTGTGTGTGTGTGTGTTTTCTCCCCTCTCCAACCCTTTCTCCCCAATGACCATATCTTTCCTCCATCCTCTGTTCAGCTCAGATGGTGTGCTCTTTCAGGGTTCTTGGTTTTGAATAGTTACTCTGATGCACTGCCATGCCTGAAATGGATGATTTGCAAGCTCCTGTGTTCCACATAATTCCGCGGATGATCTGATAGCCAGATTCTACACGGGCAGGGATCCGTTCTTTGACAGAAAATGATCAGCTTCCTAGGACCAAAGGAGCTTGCTCTCTGGGGCTAAGGACCGGGAGGCTGACCACGGTCGCCTGTGCTCTGGCCTTGGTGCTGAATTAAGCACCTGCTCCCTAGCCACGTCGGCGGCCCCGGGAACTTTGGCCCCATTGGAGAGGAACCTGCCAAGCGCCCTCTCGCGGGTCGTCAACAGGCAGCTGGGCACAGCAGACGCCTGGGATCCTCCACAGGGCACACGGCTGATTATTTCTTTGCCAGGAGCTGGGAAAGTTTTGTCCGGCATTTTCCCCCTGTCACCAGCGCTGCCTTCTCCCTCCCACCTGGGTCGCCATGGAGACTAGAGCTCTCTCTGTTTCCTTCTCCAGGCAAAATGGGGGAAGCTCAGTTAGCTCATCGCTGACTATAGGAAGCCCCCTTTTCTTTCTAAGCGGTTCCCAGGCATCCCCATTCTCTGTTTCTCAGCAGAAAAAAAAGGTAGGCAGGGACCGGAGCTAATAGGGAGGTGGTATTGCACCTTGTGCGCGCGGCTCCCTGGGACCTCAGACTTGGGATGAAGCAGTCCAGCCAGGAGCCACTTTAAACATATCATGAATCTCCGACTCCCAAACGCTGGAGGGTTTTCTCCTCTTTTTTTGGCGGGGGGGGGGGGGGGGGAGGAGGAGAAAGGATTCTTTGGAAAATTCTGGTATTTTGTTTCTCCACTAACCTCATCTCATTTCGGTGGCTGCTTCTATTAAGATATGCTTCCCCCCGCCCAGTCTCTCCATATTGAGTCTAGTCCAAAAGATGTACCTGTGGATCCACCTATGCTTTTTTTTTTTTAAATTGGGTTTGGGGAATACTAATGTTTTCTTTTTCAGTTAAAAACTAATTCAAGCTTAATGTCTTGCTGCAAATGAAAAAAACACCCAGGAGGAAGCAAAGTCAACCAATTCGCCCAACCCTGTAAATGCCATGAGCATCTCATTTTATCTGAAGGGTGTTTATCCCCTTCCAACTACAGAATAATTCGGTTTACTTCTAGGGAGATCTTCTTGTTCACTGTTTTTAGTTATCATGTCCACATCTCCGGGTTTACTGATAGAGAACAGTTAGGAGTTATTCCTCATCTTATTGTCTATCTCTCCCCACCTCTCACTTTTCCTCCTTGTTTTCCTCTTCTGCTCTCTCCTCGTTATGCAAAAGCAGACCAAGGATACAGCTTTGGATAAAGACAATGGGCTTTTCCCGACTGTAAATGACTACACCGCAAGCCTCCCCTGCCAGTTCATGAGTGCATTTCGTCTTTGCCGGCGGATGTTGAAATGGTGTCTGCAATAACCGACTGGGTTCCTCCGAGCCCAGGGCATGCAGACCCCTCCTCCCCCCGCCCCCCGTGCGAGTTTTCAGTTGCTCATGAAAACCCTAGGAAACAGATTTCCCTCGGTTATGTAACCGGCTTCTCCCTTGCCTCTCGGTGGACTTGGGCATCATGTTTCTCGTCGGAGTGGAGGTGCATGCAGCTGGGGAGGGGGAGTGGGAGCCCGAGGGCAGGGAACAGAGAGCGTCTCCCCTGGCTCGGCTCGAGGCCAGCTTCTCGCCTTCCAGCAACTCGGCGCCCCGCTTACCTGGTTGCGGACAGGGTGGTCTCACTCAATCATGATCTCTCTTGAGCGGAGCAAGATTTAATAAATTCACTCCACGATGGATGGCGAGGGCAGGAAATACAAAAAACGAGAAGGAAACGAAAAACTGGAAGCAGATGGTCCGACTTCACATCAGCCCCGGGAGGCTGTTAGGAGACTCCATTCTCGCGGTCCCTCCAGCTCCGGCTCCAGCTGGCGGGCTCCCGCGGACCCCCACCCTCCGCCCGCCAACCTCTCCAGCCAGGTGCGGCCGTCTTCACACTGGCTCCCTTTGGCCGAGAGTGGAGCGGAGGGCTGGGCGCTGGGACCGAAGGAGGGGCGGAGGGGTGCGCGTTTGGGCAGGCACGGGGGAGGGAGACCCGGCGGAAGGAAGGGGGGAAAGGCAAGAGTGACAGAAAAAAAATATTCCTGGGTTCGGAGCAAAGTGGTGGACCACGCAGCGAGACGTCATGAGAGCCGCAGATTCAGTGAGTGCTACTCAGTTCCAGCCGACTGGCCGAGCCGCGCTGTCAGCTCACCAACCGACGCGACTCTGGCAAAACAGCGTGCGCAGCGCCGCGCGCTGGGGAAGTGCGGCCGCACAGCGCGTCCGCGGGAGAAAGGGGGCGGGGGCGAGAGCCGGGAGCTGGACCCCGGACGCCCACCCCGCCGCCCGTCCGCTCTGTTATTTTAGATGGCGGTGGAGCGAGGCCCGGGAGCCGGCGGGCGCAGAAACCACCCCCCACTCCAGCACGAACCTGGAAACGTGGGTCCTGGGGGAACCTTTTGGGTTTAGTTCCCCAGACCCTACCTGTCACCCATGTCACTGGGTTATTCCTGGGGAAACACCTAGGAAGGAGGAGAGTCGAAACTCGCCGATCAGTTTTTGTCTGTTGGTTTTAAGGACTAGGTCCTTAGTTTTGGGAGGGGGCGTGGGGAGAGTATCAGGAGAAAGGGGGTCTGTCTAGTCTCTGGGACTGGGGCTGAAATCCCGGAGAGGTAGCCCCGGCGCCAGAGCTGGAGCTTGCACGTTGTCCCCTTGGCCGGGAGGGGGAGCAGCGAGCAAGCTAGGTCGGAGGGGCGGGGCCGCGCCCCAGGGCTTTCCTGGCACCTGGCAGTGACCCACTGTTGGAGTCCATTCAGTCTGTCCTGTCCACCCTACTGGGGCGTGGTACCAGCTGCTGCATCACCCCACACCCACTTTGGGTTTCAAGGAGACAAAGGATGTGATCTTTTCCGAGCATAATCTGGACTACTTGAAAAACTGAATTGTTGGAAACCCTTCTCTGACAATCACCTGCTCCTGGCTTTGAGCTTAACTTGCATTGTATTGTTATTTCAGAGACATCTTGTAGGGCTCCCCTCCTGCATCTCCTCTTTTTCTTGTGGTTGTTGCAAACAGTAGTTCTTCGTTTCCACGGGCTTCCTACAAGTGGCTTCTATCTATGTACAAACCTTTCTTTTATGCCATCATTTCTTTTTGGAGTCATAGATTGACAAGTAAATTGTAAAAGCAACTAAAACTGTTGGTTTATACTTTTATAATGGGTCTTTCAATAATAGACAAAGTGGATTTCCTTCCACAAGACACAGAATCTTCATCCAAGAAGGTGACCCTATTCTATAGAAAAAGCTCATCAAGACCTCATGTTGCCAAGATGATTTTGTTCTATATTCACACATTCTAATGACACAGAAATTCCGCCCCTCAAGAACACTGACTGCTCTCTAAAGATGACTTTTCCTTAATCAGCATCATGAAGGCACAGATCTTGGGAGCTTGTATTTGTTGTTGATTTTTCCCTGAGAGGTTGAAATCCAGCCTGCTCTTACTTCTGAGCCCATATCCCCGACACAGAAGATATTAGTCTAACATGTGATTTTTATGGTCCGTAGGGTCTGCTGGATCTAGTAATTGTGTCAGAGATAAAGATAAGCAAGGAACAACTGGACCAAACAATCCCTGAGGGGCTCCAGTAAGGACACAAGATGCAGGATTTTGGTGGAACAGCCCTGGAGCATTAAAAGCACATCTTGACCATAGTTGTCTAAAGAACACTCTATTTAATCTGCAAAGCTGCTCAGATCTGCCTGCTAATTTTGTTTTTGTATATGTGTGTGTGTGTGTGTGTGTGTGTGTTTGGATTTCCCCCAGTCGAAGGGTTTCGCAAAGTCTCTTTCTTACAAGACGTTAGGCTAAATAAGAAAGTCAAGAACTGGAAATAACCTAGTTTTCTCCTTACATGCTTGGAAATCTCCCTAACTTAAAGCAGCTGCCAGCAAGGTGTGGGCTTCTGTTTTTTGAGAACGGCTAGGAGCACAAGATGGGTCACATTAGCATGCATGGGGTTTGATTAATGCCAGAGACAAGAACAATTGGCTTAACTAAATTCATTTCTTCCCTGGAGCCCAGACAGTGATCTGCACTGGTGTAACTAACAGGAATCTGTGGCAACATCTGAAAATCAGGAAGCTGTTTATCGGAGATGCAAATTGCCGTTACTCTGAGTTCTCTAGAGCTTGTCTCTCAAAGGCCTGTGCGTTGTATTCAGCATGTCTGGAGCCTCACTTTACACATTGGTTTTATGATTTCAGGTGAAGGCAAGGGAGCTATTCTGGGTGGACCAGAGCTCCAAATCTGATATAAATGGTGGCTTTTAGGATTCATTGATTATTTTATATAAATGAGCCACTACCTCTTCCACATATCAACTGCAATAGAGGCTTATTAGGTAGTAAAATTGACAAACTGAATTACCTCGACAGGATGTCATTTGTTATGGGCAATCTCGTGTTTTCCTCCTTTATCGATTGTGGTAATTTATAGCCCAGTCTAGTCTATCTCTCTGGGCCAGGCATACACATGGCCTTATCCTGAATAAGCTGCTACCACAGGTGTTTACTGGGGGTGGGGTCTGGCCTCTGTTTCAGGGCTTGTTGTAGATTTGAGGCCTTAGTGTGGTGTGGAAATCTAGTTCTCCCTTTCCCGTTCCTTGTCTGCCTTTATACACTTGCACACCAACACACATACAATCCTTAAAGTGAGAGGAAGGACATATTAGTTTTAAAAATACAATTTTGTCCATAAAAGGACATCTTAAAGAGTATCAAGAAAAAAATTTTAAAATTATTCTATCTAAAGTTCTAATTCTAGTAGACTAAATGGATTTCATCCCTATTTCTTAGTTAGGGACTCTCCATATACAGTAGTTGCACTCTTTTTTTTTTTTCTTTTTTTACTGCTTGTAAATGTAGAGATGCATTCTTAAGAAATATTCCCAGTGGCTTGGGAGGCTGAGGCAGGAGGATCCTGAGTTCAATGCCAGCCTCAGCAAAAGCAAGGCACTAAGCAACTCAGTGAGACCCTGTCTCTAAATAAAATAAAAAATAGGGCTCAGGAGGTGGTTCAGTGGTCCAGTGCCCCTGAGTTCAATCCACAGTAACCCCCCCCTTGCCCCACAAGAAAAAGAAATGTCTCCAGGTATAGAAGATGAAGAACTTTGGTGAAGAAAGGAGTTTCTTGTGGTCCCAAGCATTCTATTCCCAATTATTCAGTGACTACTTCCACTTTTCCTGATCTATTTTCATCTCCTACACATTTTCCTTATTTTGGAGCTATCTATATTCACTAGTCTAACTAATCTTAAGTTATCACTACTTTTAAATGTTTTGACATTATATATTTTTAGTTTGATTTTATGATGATGAGAGGTGTAGTCCAGAGACTCATTTGATAGATTCTCTCTTATAATGTTTGATTAGTTCACTGTGTAGCATGTTCAGCCTTTTTAATCACAGTTTTCACCCAAGAATTCACCAAAGTGCAATTTAAAAAAAAAATCATAATAGCTTCAAATGCATTTTGAAAGCCCACGGGAGATAATGATTACAAACAAGGAATCATAAAGGAAACCTGGTTTTCCTGCCTATTACAAGAAGTGATTCTAATTAACATTACATCTGTACAAAAGAAATCCTCAAGGCCAAAATAGGGGAATTGAATTTGTAGGATGCTCTTTCTGTGGTTAATCATTTGCTAAAATGCCCAAAATCTTAAAAAAAAAAAAAAATTAAACAATACTTTTAGAAAAGAGGCTCTGAGCTGGAGAGCATGTGAAGGTCCCTCTCTGTGTGCTATTATAATTCTGAGTCACCTCTGTGGTCACACGGGACATCCAGCAGTAGGCCACACATGGACCACGTGGCTTTCAGCAGAGGGGTCACTCTTGCCCAGAGTTCCCATGCTTCCATAGCTCTCCTGGAAGGACCTGACCCACTTCCTCCCCAGGGTCACAGTAGAATCCACTTCCAGTTTCCAGATCAGCCTCGAGAAGTCTAAAACAAGATTCCAGTGCTGAGGCAGCCCCCGACTCCAGAAGACAGGTGCAGTGGTGGGCTGAGGTGGGAGTTCCCTGCTGTATCGTTTTGTCTATAGAATGGTGTGGCTTTTTCTTTGGGAAACCGATCTGAGATGGAGTTCAATGTGTTGTATGTTCAGTAGGGACATTTCTAAAGGATGCAATGTCCATGGTATCAACACCCAGGGAAGGTACTGAAGAATTGGGCTTCACCTTGTCTGATCCCATGGAGCGCTCTAAGCTAAAACAGCCCATTAGAGTTGTCTTGCACAGAACCCAAATAGCCTCTACCAGCGACCCAGGCTGGCTCCCTGTATCTGACAGAGAAAGGCTGTCTACAGCAGCCTTCTAGGAGCTAGGCCACGTCCTTCCTTGAAGTGGGATCTGTCTCATCTCATCCACACAAATGGCAGGTCCATTGGCCATTGGTCAGCCCACTGCACCTTGGTCTGCATTTGTTCTTCCTACCTGAGTGTAGGGATGAGCTGCACGCAGTGGGTCTATTACTAAAACCGAGGCAATGAGAGACAAGAGCAGCCCAAGGTTTAGGGTAAACTGGTAACGCCAGGCTCAGGAAAGCTGACCAGAGTGGACAAAAATCTCATCTTTGTGTGTCCCACTAGCACCATAGTGGGGGGAGGCTTCAGAGGAAAGCCTGTGTATAAAACCCCAGGGCAACGAGATTCACTGGGCTAAAGATGAAAGACGTCTTATTTCTGGGGGAGCAGGAGAGCCCACGTCCTTCTGGCCAACGCCTCTGCATCTCAGGACACTACATTCCCAGGATGTTCTGCAGTTGTCCTCGGGAAGTACAAGTGAGAGATTTCACCCCGTGGATCTTCCAGCAACCACACGTACAAAAATACCGCATGGGGTCTGTCGTGCCGTCACTGCTTCACAAATGCCAGCTGTTTGCTGGCTGTAGACGCGTGTCACCTTCAGGATCAAGAAAAGTGAAGTTGTGTGCTTTCATGCAGATCAGGATTCATACCCGCCCAGTTTCTGGTCCATGGAGATGTCGACCACAGTTTCAAGTTCCCGTACAGTTCTGAGAATGCTTCTTATTGTCTCTGATTAGTTAACAAGTCCCAATCCTGAATCAATTACTGGGGCCAGAAGGAGCTCTGCTACGTGTTCTCTCGGAACCTAATGTCCATTTCATTCACTTCTGAGATCTGACTTGGGGAATGCAGCACATGTGTCATTGCTCAGAGTGGGAGTCAGGGTGCGGCTGGAGGAACAGGTGGGGCACCTCCACTGTGCTGCTCTCCAGAACAGAGGGCCCCCGAGGCTCTGGTATTAACTGCTGTTGGTGGTGGTATTCAGTTTCTTGCCATCCCAGGACCAAGGCCCCGTCGTCTTACTGGCTTGTAGTAGTCGGGCAACTGTACTTGGCGTTGAAAGTCAGTCTGCATTCCTGACCACATGGTCCTTCCGTCTTTGAGCCAGCAAAGGGACATATACTCTATCCTACATTTTGTTATCCTACTTCTTCAGCCTGCCGGGGAAAAACCTTTTCTTTCAACAGTCATCATTCAGGCCTACCTCTCTCATTTCTTTACCTTAGGATCAACTAATTTAGGATCTTCATCATCTCTGAAAATTCTGTTTGCAGCAACCCTTAGGTAACATTGGATGGCCACCCAGGAGGAGTGTGTAAAGCAGGGCCAGGACTACTGGAGGCTTCTGAGAATCCTGCCAACCACACCCTCACTTCTTAGAGTTCTTATTAATTGAGGCCACACCTGGAGAAACAGTGTGTCAAAGTGAAGTTTTGATAGGGAAACCAAGAGAGGCACGGAGTTTTGCTGATCCGCTGAACTGCTTCATCGGTGTGAAGCAGCAGTGGAAGGCAGCTGTTCCACTTTCCTCGGAATCCTCCTCTAGTTGTCCAACTAGCTGGCCAGGTGTGGGTGCTTAGCCTTTTTAAAAAAATTTTTGATGGGTTTTGTTTTTTAGATACCTGACAGTGGAATGCACCACAATTCTTGTTATACGTATAGAACACTTTTTGGGTGTTAGCTTTGTGATGTCTGAAAGACACTCTCACCAAGGCCCGAGGCGATTAGAAGAGGCACAAGGTTCAGTTCACTCCTGTGGGTGTCCAGCATGTGACTGTGGTTCCAGCCTGTTCCTACAGTAGCCCATCGCTATGGCACATCTCCAGACGGTCCTAAGGGCTCTGATCATAGCAGTGACCGTCTTTTCTTGCACCAGCTTGTCCCTTTGTCGACACATGGCTGGATGGACTTCCCCACCTGGACAATGACTCCGACCGTCCTTGATCACACTGGGGATGTTGTGGTGTGGTCATTATCAAGTTGTCCTCGTCTTCCAGGCCTATTTAGAAAAGGAGTAATAAGAGGTTCAGAGCTGGGGGCCTTCGGAAGGTGGTTAGTTCAGGGTGATGTCCATGTCCTCGATAGACTCATCCACTGATGGATTCATGATTTAATGGGCTGTGGGGAAAGTGGTTGAAACTTGAGGAAGTGAGGCCTGGTTGGAAGAAGTAGGTCACTGACGATGTGCTCTGGAAGGCTGTCTCTCGTCCCCGACCCCTTCCTCTCTCTCTCTGCCTCCTGGTTCCGTGAAGTGAGCAGCTTTGCTCTACCATGTGGTCCCTGCCATGGTGTTTGCCTTGCTTTGGGCCCAGTATGATGGAGCTAAGTGACCACCGACTGAAAC